GACAGTCGTGTAGCATAGCTCTCAACGAATGTAGTCATTTAAATAAATATATATATATATATGTGTGTGGGGGGGGGGGTGTTGCCACGTGGCATTGTGCTTATACATTTGAATATGAAGAACTAAACAAGAGGAGAAATGTACCATATGCCTAAAATAGAATAATACTGTTAATCTATTCACCTCGTCACGAATGCATTGTATCGCTATGAATCGTGAAAATAAACAAAACATACTTATATTAGTTTAACCATGGAGTTGTCTCTTATAATCATTCGTTACTTCGTGATACAACGGCGAAAACCGTTCTTTCTTTTTTCCAGCATTTTTTTTAAAAGCTCGCAATAAATATAAGGGAAAAAAGAGCACAGGCATTGTGTGTGGTAGTGCTATTTTTATTCGTGTCTGCTCCGATTAACTCTGGATCATTTGCTATTTTAATACAACCCTTAATTCACATTGCGTTTTCAATATCAATCAGTGTTGCACTAATGAACCACTCGCCTGCCTCAATGCTTGTATATATAAACAGTTTCCGATTTACCACGCCGCAACGGTGAAAGAAAAAAACTTCACATTCATCTATTATTAGTTCCGTAGAAATAAGAGTAGTCGCAGTTCCGATCGTGATATTCTACCCACTAATTTTGCCCCATTGCGGATGCCATGACGATTGTTTTATGGCATTTCCCGCTAAGTGAGTGACAGGGTTTAAATAAGCATTTTGAAATGTCATGACCATGTGTAAGTATGATTGATTTTGTGGATGACATTCCGAAGCTATAGGCCAATATTGTAATAGCATCTTTCTTAAACCAGCCTAGGTCCGCAAGGCAGCCCTAACGGCGGGTCTGGAGCCCGGCAAATTACCCCAACCGTTTAATGCAGATGAGAGCCCCTGTGGAGGATGGGGGAATACAATACACAAATTCATGTAATACACAAATTACCAGTCACCCATTCACAGAAATTTAAATAAAAACTCTAATAAACGTTGTCAAAAACAGATAGGTCTAACGTGGATTGACAATTTAACTTTACTACATTTTTTTTGTTTTTGTTTTTGTTTTTGTTTTTGTTTTTTGTGTTTTTTTGTTTGTTTTTTTCATCTTCTACAATGCTATTGAATCCACTTTACTTATCAAAGCAAGCTTTTCCATGACAATAAATCCAGTTTTGATAACAATTTCCTTGCCTATTATCTCACTACACATTTCGATTACCATACCATGCTCAGAAAACATGGAAGCAAGACTATTCTAGGCCTATCGTATGTAGATTTGTTAGTTTCGTTGGTCGTTTATCAAATACAATATTCCAACGGGCTATAAACATTACAATATTATGATTGTCTTTTACGTTACAACTTGACATCATAACAGTGACCTTATGAAAAAAACAGCCTACACGCCCACGCTCTCGTGCGGCGGTCAGCAAAGCCCCCGACCCCTAGGGGTCCCGGAGGGGCTACTACACACAGAGTCCTCGATCTAGCACCTTGACCCAAAAGGGCTTTGTTGGGTACATAACAGCATAATGTGTCTCTGACATCGACTGGGCATATATCATATTATATCTAGATTAAAGGGGCGGGGGAGGCTGAGGTGGTATAGACCCTCACTCTGTGAAAGTCTCTCTCTGGGCCCACTCTATTTCAAATTCCTGGATCAGCTTGATCATATCATTGACTTCGTCGTTAAAAACATGTAGCAGAATACATTGAAAAACATGAATTAAAAAAACGAACACATTTAAAATCTCACAAATGTCCCCCAGTCTCAGAAAGTCACAAAGCTCCCGGTTACGTCACTGAACATGAATCGGTGTTTACCCAGTCTTTCTATCTTTCTTCCTGTGATTTTTCTTTCAATGATTATTCTGTATTCAAATATTATGAATTTGCTGTTGATGTCGCTTAATCATTTGGCCTAGGATTAATTACCTTAATTATTTTGTGAGTCAAATCGCCGTAACTGACTCAACACGCGAGGCAGTCGTTCATACAGATTGAAAAACATTTTACATCAAACCAATTTGCTTAATGTAAATATTATTAGTGTAAATGTTATTAATAATTAAAGTTGTCAACCAATCGCTAAATCTCTATATTATTTACATACTGTATACCTGATACTAAATGTATATTGATAAATTATATTTGATGTGCGGCTTAGCTGGTGTCATATAATACATGTTAATGGAAATACGGACACGATTATAGCAATGCAATGAGATGGGCTTAAACGTTATACCACCAGCATACCAAATGACATTTAACATTTCCCTTATATTTCGCCTGTTCTCACGCACTGGCTGCACGTCACCACCCGCATAATTAGCCCTATAGCAACAAAGAAAATGGTAGGTGAGCAAAGGGCAAAAGAGACCCTGGTAGTCATCGGGCAGCCGTCATTAACAGTGGGATTCGTTGATTTAAAAATGTTTATTCTTTCAGCGGTGGTCCGGTTGTAAATTTTATTGTTAATATTATTGCTACAGGTGAACTCAGTCTGGAATTCGGGTTCGAATCGAACAGAACTCATTTTTACTTAGGCAGGAGTAATTAGTGGCGCTCTGTTAAATTCTCGGTACAAACTTTCCCCAGCATTCTACTTCTATAGGCCCATTAACATTTTTTTTTTTTTATCATTATTTCTATTAATAATGTTATTAGTACGTCCATTATCATAATCGTCATTGTCATTATAATCACAATAACAATCACCTGGAACTAATAAAGTCACTTGCGAAAAAACACTCAAGCATTAATGTAGATCAGTTGATTAATGAACATCAAAACTGAAAGAATGACGCAGATTCTGATAAGAACCAGGATATTGATGGCATTATTATTGTTAACTGTTTGACCTAATTTACCGTTATTTTTCCGTAATCGGTAATAGGTTTGCTTATGTTGAGATAAGTGTACATAAATGCAGGGTTATTTGATGTGCTATGATAAATAATTGGAGCAATAGAGTCCACTGAGGAAAATTATATGTTTTTCATTCTGTTAGACTTTGTTTGCTTTCAAGATGGCGCATATTTATGAGAGAGTGGTAAATCTAATTTCGAAGCCCCCTGAGAAGCGGCACGACCGGGATATCGATCTTCTTATATCGTGGTTTCAGAACATGAGCGGACTTTTCAAGGCACAGAAAACTGGTAAGGAGAATCTGATAGCGTATACGTATTCATTGGATTAATAGCTGATGGGGGGGGGGGTGGCGCGAAGGTGAAGTGGGGGGCTCGATGATCAGTTGAGGGCGCTAACTTGCAAAATAAAGTGATTTTTAACTACTTGCAAGTGATATTTGTGGGAAACTGGTAGGGGGGGGGACGGGAGTAATTTTTGGAGGAACGTGCGCACCCCCCTCTCGCATCCCCTAGATACGCCACTGTGTGACTCAAGGATTTTTTTGTTCATCGACCTGTAAATCAGGACCACAATGAAAAACAATTCCGAATATCAGTTAATCAATCAATCAATCCCTTTTATTTCAGACAATGATGTCATCCTTGTTTAAGATGTTAATAAATAAATAAAAGTAAGGCAAAGGTGGGGGAGACCAAGATTTGAAGCTCTAACCTGCTCAAAGTTCCACATACTTTTTACGTATTTCAAAGTAAATTGTGCCCAAGTAGGAAAGATAAGCCACTTGAAAATCTTCAACTTCAAATTGAATAGCTGATTTAATTCTTTGACCGTGTTGCGGAGCTTTGACCTGAATGAATTGCGTAGGCAACAAAGGGAATAACAGGGACTAACACTAATAATTATGTAAACACCAACTTCGTGATCTTATATTCAAATTTATAAAAAGTACTTTACGTTTTACTATTACGGGTCGTTGAATTGTGACGGATAGTGTAAACAACACAGTATACCGCTGTAGGCCTATCACCTATGTTGACATTCTCATAAGCTGATGTCATGAATAATCTTTAGCCCACATTTTCTCCTATTTTTAATTAAGCCCTAACCATCTATCACTTATAACTGAATGTGATACAGAATGCGGAGGCCTATTAATATGTCGACATTACAAAAAATCTGTACAAACAATTAAGACAAAAGGTCAGGAAAAACTAAAGCGACGAAAGTCACTATGGCGCAAGAGTCAGTAATTCGAACGTAAAATACATAAAAAGGTTAACAGTCAAAATACAATTTTTAATATTCAAATCATGAAGATTCAAATTTACATCGTAAGCTTTATAATGTTAATCAACAAAGTTAAAGGAAGAGTTTATCGGTTTTATATAATTTGATTTAGCTTATTCAGTTTCATAATATCCCATTTTTGAAATTACGAGTCTCGTGCGCGTTTGTTACGTCGACGCTCACAACTAGATTTGTGATGACGTCGTATGTGCATGCTCCATCAAGGTTTAGCGACAGGCTAATGTAATGCACATCTTTATGGATGATTCCTAGATTAGATTCGTAATTTTGAAAATGGGATATTATGCAACTGCATATGCGAAATTAGTTCTCAAATTTTATCAAATCGGTAAACTTCCCCCTTAAAATGTGTATTAAGCGCATTCATGGAAACGATGACTTTATATTAATAAATTGATTGTTTGGTTCATCGCTGTTGGTTTTCTGAATGACTAACAATTAAAAAAATATAAGAACTTAACATCACCTATCAACAATAGAATACTTTTAACTTTATATTTGGAAATTAACAAAAAAAGTTTGTTGTTTTCCATAATTTTATTTTTGTTATTTATTCAGTAAACTGACAGTTTTGCTGTCCGAATTATCTTATTTACCAATTTAAAACAAAATCAATCTGTGTTTTTCTCCAAAGGTTGTCACAGACAGAGAAATGTAGGCCCATGTGTTTCCTAATGAATTATGATTATAACTTTTTATAATTTTTAATGAGTCCATTTAGGCGTTGGTCTCAATTGATATATAGGCCTAGGCATAATTAACCATGAGACATAATATTTCCAGAGTAAAATTAAATTAAGTTAAAACGAATATTGACAATGCATTAAGTTTGCAATCAATTTGCCAAATGCAATTAATTGTTTAATGAACACGTAAATAAAAAATACTATATATTTACCGTACTGAATAAGCACAGCCGCCATTTGATTGAAAGTGAACGTAAATTTAATGTATAGACAATTATTACCGCGTAGTTGTTTAGCTCTTAATCCGTAAGAGAAACGAGGTCGTTCAAGGTGCTAGAATTGGTTTTGAAATGTGAATTCTAAAACTGCCAAGAGTTGTTACTATTGATCTCAATGTTTAATTAGCCTATAAGTCATTTCACTTAAAGACACTTTAAATTGGTTCTAAGTAGATGTGAAGAAATGTTTTCAGAAATCTATAAATTGTAGGCGTATGACACTTCATCACCTACCGTATTTCATGTATATATATATATATATATATATATATATATCTGTGTGCATGTATAGATTAAAAGAGCAAAATACTGAAAACAACAATGCTCGGTGGAAAACGATTGCTGGATCTCGGTAGAGATAATTTGATAAAACAGCAGTAAACAGCCAGAAATAGAACCTGAGCTTTCGGAAAGCACTAGTCGTTCTTTATGAGAAAGAGAGAGAGAAAGCATCGGTGTAATTTCGAACACGTATAATTGTCAGCAAAATTAATAATAAAAGCAGTTGAGATGGCGTAATGTATTCTTGAATTCGTCAATCGCGTTCAAGAGTCGGAAAAATCAGATGGTCCTTAACATCACAAACCATTAAGACAAAATAACACGTCAAGAACCAAAATATTACTTTTGTTGTTAGGTAGACCCCTATTCCACAAAGTGTGATTTATTTATTCTGACGATTACTGACACATTTTTCCACGATGTTATGAGATAATATCTGTCCACAAATTTGTAAATTTAATCGAAGTGTGACGTAATCATACTTGGCAAATAACTGCAAGAATTTCCCATAAATGTTCGACCCCCAAATTATTACGTATGTGTTTACTTAATACGCTGCTGATCAAATAATTTGAATTTCTATTAATTTCTTAAGGAGACGTAAGGCTATTCAAACTTTATCAAACATTGCCTGAATGGAAGCAAGAACTAGATCTCAAAATTCAATGGCTCAATGATTGATTGACAACCAAGGCCCACGGGTAAATAACGGCTATAATTTCAGACGGATCATGATGCCGTGTAAATTTATCACTGCCGCGGGTAACCGCAATGATGCAATTTTTTTATAAAGTTACTAAAATAAACTATAAGTGTAAATGTCATTGAAACAATAAGTGAGAAGAAAACCACCCTCTACTTGTTGATAAAGTAACGACCTAATTATAGAGGTGTATTATAGTGTATTCTCTTTATTTATAAACCAATTTATTTAAACTTTTGATACCTGTGTTCTATAAGTCGGTCGGCCTAAAATAATGAAGACTAATAAGAAGAAGCGAGACGATAGGTCGGTAATTTGAATTTATACAATACGCTCTCATGCAAAGGTGGGCGAACGGGTACGTGCTGATCTTGATTCTTTGACAAATTTCTATTTCTGTAGGTGAGAGTTGGATTTTTGGTAGCTAATAACTAAACAATATTATTAGTTTGTAAACTGTCGACGTATTTATAGGTTAAGATAGAAAATTTATATCCAAGTACCCGCTATAGTTACGCATAGCGACCTTATCTTGCATTATTGTTATTAGTAATATTCAGCTGTGTACACACTGGAGATAACCAAAAGCGTAGAGCTACTTTGTATCTGCCGCCAGTACACAGTGTCATACGTGATGTCACGAATAAAGATTCCCCGTTAGTCTCTGGTTTTGAGCAATATGTCTCTCTGAGAGAAAAGTATTTATCTAACTATACGAATGCGTGTAGGACCGTTGATTCACACTCGGCTAGTTTTATTGATTTACAATTGCACAATCTCTTGCTCGTTGTAAAATTGAAAAAAGAAATGATATTTTCAGTGTCTGTTTGTCAACAGAATAATGCGATTTATTTTAACTTTTCAATGTTTTTTTTAAAATATATTTTGCAAAAAATCTGGAGAGCAATTAAGCAAATATGGGTAGGACCTATGGCATAAACTTCGTCTGCAGACCCAGTTTGAGATAGCACAAACCTTTAAATTCTTCACCTAGTTAATCAACAAAAATACCTACTTGACTGGGGCGTCAACAGATACGGCTCCAAAAGGTCATAGGTTTACCCCCTGTAATTAACTACCAAATGCTTCATGAACAATGTAATGACACCTGTTTAATCACTGTTATGGTCATGGGCACACAAGTATTTTATATGAACATAAACACTTCAAATTATGATAACTCCTTGAGAGTTGCATAATCATAAAGTAGGGTCTTAGGTAGTCTTCAGGGTCCAAAGATGGCCTAATAGACGGTAGCATTAACGTTTGGTTGTATCTTGTGAAGGGCCCCCACTAGGCAATGATTAAGTTCACTTTTGGGGTGTCCTGTCTCATATTGTCCGTGCTTGTTCTTTGCTGTTTCCTTTATTGTCAATTTTAATGTTTTGAGACGAATAAATGAAATGAAAAAGAAATGAAATGAGAACTTGGATCTATTATAAACAAAAACTAGGGCGAATAGCAGATACAAATTAACCTCGTTTACTGTGTATACATGCCACCAACCAGAACATTATACAAAACTGAAATAGGGCGAGTTGATAATGTGATCATAGTGCATTTGATGGTGTTTGTCCGTTCCAATCTCAGTATCTCTGTAAAAGACAAACAATAGACCTTTCTGGAGTTGAAGTCAAACTTAAAGACTGAAAAACTAAAATTAGTAGTAACAGTAACACGCACATGGCCCACTACCGTACACGTTCCTTAAGTTTACGCTGCCATTTTGTGGTAATTTATGAACTTTATCAAAAGGGCCATACTTAGTTTATTTAAGTTCATTATTTTTATCACTAATACAACAAAAACACCTTAATTTAAAAGACAACGTTTAACCATGGAGGAAAATGGTTTAACAATTAGGCCTATGTCCATGACGAGTAACTTGCTTTAGGAGGATAATTAACAAACATTGATTAAAACTCAAGATTATTGTGTATCTTATTGGAAACATTTAAACTGACTCACATTATTTGTATTATCTTGTAGATGTCGTCAAAGATATTGTGAGAAATTGCAAGTTTTTATCTTTACCAGAAGATTCAGTCATCATCAAACAAGGCGACCAAGGAGATAGGTAAACCATACATAACTATTTCTATGTGTGTTTGCGCCAAAACAGTATTTGCAGACCTGCTGCTACCCAAATTACTTGCGATTTTTCACAAGTATTAACCACTCATCTTTGATGAGGAGTGCACAATGTCAGATCGTGTAAATCACTTAATTATAACCTCAGAAATATCTTCCAAATCAGAAATTACATAGATGAATCTGTTTGCCATAATATCGTTCGCTGATATTCTCTACTTCATGGTTCATTTGATAAAGAAATAAAACGTCTCCAGCTTATTCAGAACAGGGCGGCAAAACTCATAATCCGAGGGAGGAAATTTGACCATGTCACTCCCTTACTCGCACGGCTTCACTATGGTTACCTGTTCATAAAAGCATCATTTTCAAGATTCTAACTCTTAAGTGCCTATATAATACTGCTCTATCTTACCTTCAGGAACTTATAACTTTATATACTCCTTTACGTGCTGGCCTTCGTTCTGAACTTGACCCTTTTATACTATACACACCAAAAACAAACTTAAAATCTGTCAACAAAGGTTTTTATGCATTTTCACCTTTTCTCTGGAACCAAATTCCCACCGTCATCCCTTTATGCTCCAACTCTTTCTAAATTCAAATTTCGTCTTAAAACTCACCTTTTTCCATAGTTCATACTTTTAAGCGCTGTGAGACTCCGGTGAATAGCGCTATATAAATTCTTAAATATTATTATTATTATTAATAATAATAATAATAATAATATTATTATTTGGGAACGTATTAAGTATTCGATATGAATACTAAATAACACGTAAAGTAGGGCAAAACATCACACTTAAAATACAGAACTATTTATTTTTCGCCCAATTTTAGATTGGTTATTTTCTCAAAAGGGCTTCTTCGGTATCACTATCAGTCCTGTTGTGCATTTTGAAAGAAATACATATATGACTCTTTTTACAAAATGTTTGCCCACTTATAGAAATTGCCGATAAAATTTAATGTTTAGGAGTTACTAAGTAATGTAGATGCAATCATTATTTTAGTGGTATCATTTTCTTTTCAGCTTCTACATCATCTTGTCAGGTTTGGTTTCAATCTACATCAATCAACAATTAGAAGAACAAGGAAATTTGACCAAATCAACTCCAGTACGTCAACGAAAGAAGCGCTTGGACAATGAAGCACGTCGGGTTGTCAGTGAAAAGAAAACATTACTTAATGAGAATGAAATAAAAAATGGCGATAGCGATAGTAGGGTTGGATCAAAAGACACTTCAGACAATGATTCACAACAAATGTGCGATTCTGGTGTTTCAGAAATGTCATTTGATGACGCCATGTTGTCAGACGACAGTTCTGTGGACTACTCTGATTCGGAGAGCTCCCACTTTAATTACAGAAAGAACGCTGAAAAATTAGATCGGAAACAATTTGGTGTTCACATAAGGGAACTCGGTAAGATTTATCGAACAGATAAAATAGCTTACATTTTACTCCACTGCCAAAATACCAATATTTTGTCTTCATAATTTTTATTTGATTTTAACGAATATTCGTAAGTATGTTCATGGAACAGTGAATCACTGTTCCCTGGTATGTTCAGTATCGATTCCCCATCTAAACAAGCTTATTACACTACAGGCATTGGAAAAAGTTTTGGCGAGTTGGCGCTGGTACAAGCAGATAATGTCAGGAGTGCGTCTATTATATCCGATCTGCCGACTGATCTTATAATGGTTAACAGAGACTTGTATAATCGTTGTTTAAAAACCGCGCAAGAGATGCAGTTTAAAGAGAAAAAGGAGTTTGTTGGGACGTGTTCCCTATTTAGGTAAGTCTATCTGTGTCTTTACACATTTATTTATTTATTTATTTATTTCTTATAAACATCTTTAACCAGGATTACACAAACATTTTCTGAATATTTTTCATTGTCGTCCTGGAATAAAAATACCTTTACCGATACACTAGTGGCTACAGTGAACTTAATCGTGAAAATGTGGTTTTTTTTTTTTTGTACAGACCAAAATAGACTCACCGTGGACCTACTCTTTCTTTTTATTGTTTAAGTAGTAGTCTTTAACTCCTGTCATCACCAATCATAATATAAGTTACATGAACGGACAGGCTTGTATTATCTTGGTTTACCCGTCTGAAGTCAGCCCATTTATGATTTAGATGCTAATAATAATATGGAACTATCGGACAATTAAATCTCTTGAAACTTAATATTTTTCCTGTTGGAAGTGTTAATGTAGAGGCCCATCTCGTTAATGGACTTTCAGCTTATCACACTCACGAGATGATCATTAACCGACTTGATTCTGCACTTCTCACTCTGATAAACATGAAGGCATTTCATTTGTAACTGAATCGTACAAAAAAAAGTTTAAATGTGTACTCTCTAGACTGGTGAATTTTTAGAAGCTGGGTTGAAATATTTATCGAATGAAAAATGATTTATATATAGGTGAACTTGTTTCATTTACTCACAGAGCATACACTGAAATCCTCTATTAATAACAAGCACATAGATGAAAAGTCATTCATATTCCAAGTACTTTGAGTAGTTGGAATTGGATAGAATAACATTTCCATAATAGGTTACAGTAAATATTTGTATGTTTTATATAATAATTAAATTTAAAATTGTAGATTTACAGTGTGTCCTGTTGTTTAGCTATTCCGACGCTGTAACTTTGTTCTCTTTATAGTAACTGGACACCTCGTCAGCGAAAAATTATGGCAATGAGTTTTACAAAAACGCGTTACGATTATGATAATACAATAGTGAAGCAGGGCGAGCCAGTTCGAGGTATATTTTTCATTCTGAATGGAAATGTTAAACATTCTGTGGATCCTTTACATCACGTCAAACAGTATCCAAGTTACAGTTCCAATGAAGATCAGGCGGTGACACACGCCCTCAGGTAGGCCTATATCGTAGCCTTGGTAACAGTATTACTGCTGCCCGTAACATTCATTCTGCATCACTTTACACCAATATACATACCAATGCACAGATACAATACCAACGTACAGCCTCGTTAAACTTCCTCACATTAACTGCAGTTTAGTAACAACTTTTAAATGATTGTGACAAATACCTTCATGAATTTCAACACAGTTTTGTCAATTTCGCTTTAGTTATTTTGAACGAGTTCCAATTAACCTCAATTGCAAATTGATTTTCCGAATAATTATTAATTAAGATCAGGATCATTATAATCAACAGACATCGGTAATGATCGTTTATGATCAATTGTTTATTAATAAGTTGTTTCCTTTTTATAAATTCAACAAACTCAATGGATTAGGCCTAGGTGTTTCATAAGACGTTTTGGTGCTAATTATTCGCCATCGTTTGTGTGTGTATGTGTGTTTTTTTCTTTTCTTTAGGTTTTCCTTTGTTTTCCTTTAAAACAAATTCTGTTGTAAATAAAATGTACAAAATAAATTATTGTAAATTATAAGCATATAAGATTATACATTACAAGCTTTTATGATTGATTTTGTAAACGGCCTTGTGCGATTTCAGGATTGTGACTTTCAAATGTTGGAATGTAAATAAATCAAATTTGAATCGGGAATTATTGTCATTTTAAGCACGTTGGTCAGACAGGTTGACTTCTTTTTTTAGAAGTTGAGTGAATAATTTACGTACAATAAATTCATATTTCGTTTAGTGAATTAGGCCTATGTTTTATTTTCAGGCGCGGAAAGGTACCGCATGATCGGAAACCAGCCGACGTTAATAACAACAATCAACGAATGGCTGGACCAAGCTTTGCTCGTCGGCGGAATGGCTATGCAGAGGCAGAAAAACTAGCGACTCGAAAATTTGTGGATATCTGTACGGTTGGCCCAAGCGAATCTATTGGTAATGTTACAGTTATGATTTAATGTTTTGTTTATAATATAAATATTCATGTTTATTTTATTCTTGATTGAAATGAAAAACATTATGTAGTCCGATAGCAAATAATAGGCTTACATACTGTAGAAATACGATTTGGCAGAAAGACAACAATATTGCCGTTAAAATAAATATCTGTTTTTATTGACAGTAGCATTCGAATTATTACTATTAAGTCATTATCAGCATTGTATTTTTCTCGTGTTACCAATGGGTTATAGACAGGACAGATGCCTTCTGTCATAAATGCTTTACTTGAGTAAGTAACTCCAAAACTTATGATGAGAGAAGCGTCTCGTAAAATAATGATACACTTGTCACCACTCGTCAAATAAAATTAATCATTTTAACTTTGCAGGAGACCTCGAAGTGATCCTACGACTTCCAACCTACTTGCAAACTGTCACGTGCCTGGGTCCGGTCGAAGTATTTGAGTTGGACTTAAATAATTTCGAGAGGCAAATCGTAAAACGAAGTCCCAAGACTTTCGTCAATATGAGAGCACTTGCCCAGGTTAAACTGAATTCCCGTATGCAGCGACTACACAATCAACAAGTAGGTCTATTGAGGAAATTTGGTTTTGTTTCTTGAATGTGCCATAATTCTATTTTGTTCATTCGTTATCAAAATCTAGGGTCACCACTTATACGATAGTATCGGAACTTGACGATTTAAATACGGTTAAAGTACAGTATGATATACAGTAGTAATGGAGACAGCAGTTTGAAGCTTAATGGTTAATAATGAGCCAATATATACACTGTGAACCCTGAGAAATTCAATTCATCTGATTATTTAGTATTTTAGTTATTTGCTCGCCTCAAGTAGCTACTGTAGATCATGTTTATGTATACACTTCGAAAGGCGGATTTCCAAAATAATGCAAAAGTCGTGCAATGAAATTAATTATATTGAACAGACTTACCGCGGAGAATTTCGACTTTCTAACGACAGTTCAATGCCGCTTGCTTAAATTTTGGTGGGGTATCTCAAAGTTCGCCTCATCCATCCATATTCTAGAAGCCTCTTGATGGCTTGCTGCGGGGCCATTGATAAAGGCACATTTTTGCGAAGGAGCCCCTCTTGCTTCTATTACCTCTCCAGTTCGGTGCCGTTCCCCTTCAGTGGAACTAACGGGGTCTCACAGGAAGGTATGGGGGAGATGGTTAGGTACAGCCTTCCACTCGCTTTGGTGCTATAAGCGTTCATGCTTCCATCTCAACTGCGACTGCAGGTGTAGATTATGTGGTTCCGCGGAGAACCTCCAGCGCGAACACCTACTACAATGTGAGTAGGTTGTAGGGGACTTTGTCTCCTTTGACGCTTCGTTCGGCTCTTCTAAATTTGGAGAGAGCGTTAATTGCTACCCTGCCGCCGGGTTGAAAAAAATAAAATAATAATAATAATAATGATCGATCCTTTGTCATCAGGTTGTTTTAGCTCTTTTCTTCCTGTGAAGAATGTATTCAATTTTTTGAATAAAACGTTACACAATAAATAAATAAATAATACTACATATTTAAGTATCGTTATTACACAATTTATCATTATAAGGTTTATACGCCAGTGATGAAGAAAATGTTGGAAAAGATGGAAGAAATCAGTATTGCGTCACAAAAGAAAATCCCACGACAAAAGGCTGAAGATGACAGTGTTCTTTTTAACCAAGGCTGGTACAAATACCGCCTAAGACAACGTCAGTTCTTGCGCAGACGAGAAAGAGAGCGCCAGCTATTTGAATTGAAGAGAATGCAGATGCAGCACACAAAATTTGAATGGCAGCAGCGTATGAATTCTACGCAACAGCAGAATCTTTATCAGCAACCTGCTGCCAGAGTTCAGGATTTAACGCTTGGACTTCGTGCTAGAAGCTTTTCAGACGGTGCCACTCGTGACATTACTCCAGTACCAATGCTACCAGATGTACCACAAACACCAGTACTGTCTTCAAAACCGATTGTAATAGACTCAGTTTCGAGCTCAGAACTGAGCTCAGATAGTGGAATAGCACTCACAGAAACCCAGATTAATTCTAAGCCCAGGTCGACATCAATTTCCCATGTCCAAACTGTACTCCCGAAATTGGAAACGAGGCCGAGAACGGCAAATGAAGTTTAACACACATTTAACACCAAGATGAAATGTTTTGTTACAACCATCAAAATATACAAATAATTTACTCTGCACAAACTAAATCGTCCTGTACATTACCCCGAGAAGATTGAGACTATGGTTATTCAAATAATAATTGCTACTGCATTACCATGGACCTATTATAATTAATACGGTAGATTAATGGACCTATTATTAATGGGTCCATGCCTTTTTGATTTCTGTATGAGAAACATATTTAAAGTTTACTGCGTTTAAAAATAACTGACGTCAATTTAAAACTATAAGCTTTACATAATCTAAAATTAGACTTGCTTATCCCACTGTATAGGCTTCCAACATTAGGTTAAATTCTCTCACATTTTCTTACATTATGTTTCCCATATTGCATTCCACGCCTAATAATAATAATAATGTGTATGCTTTCATAACCATACACATTATGGTTTTGTAACTATAAACTTTAAAAAAATACTGAAATGAGTGTAGTTAATTAAATTGTTAACATTGTTAGTCTCCAGGTACGTAAAATCAACTCTCTATTGCTGCGTGATAAACATAATCTACCAGTATTATATTTTATATTATCAGGAAAGAAAATAATACAAAATTGTATGGTGAAAGTAATATAATGTAAATAATGTATTATATTATGCATATATTATAATCTACCTTCGTACAAAACCATTCCAAGTTGTTTTCTTTTATTTGTAAATACAGTTTTTATTTAAACCAATTTATTTTAAGGAAGCCAAAAATTGCTTCGATCAATAGTTGTTTAATGTTGAATAAATACAATTACTGATGAACAGTGAAATGAAATAAACAATGAATTAAAGCCGAATGCATTTATCAATACCTTATACCGAAGCCCTACAAAATAGTCAGTCTTAATTCTAATAGATTTAGAAATTCCTAAAGAACATTAAATTATAAATAATAGAAAAGAATGATTTATTTATGAAGGTAAGATATTCATATATTTATGTGTGTGATATTTCTCTTATACTGTACTGAAATATTATATTAATCACCTAATGTTTATTATGACAATATAATTTAAGGAATTTACACCCTATGTATAGGTAAGATCTTGATTCTCTAAAGAAATAAATAATCTGTATCTGTATTATTCTGTATTGGTCTATTTCAAACAATGATTCTTTTGTGTTCGAGACTCTTTATAACAATGGATTATTTTGAGAAACAGACTTAATCGACCTGATACTGTATTGAGGATCGGTTGACGGTGGGCGATATTCCAGGTCTAAAGTCGAGGTTATACGTTATGTATTAATAAATATACAATATTGTATATATACATATATATATATATATATATATATATATATATATATATGATTATGATCGATATTTTATAGCTGTCCATTTCACAAAAGTAGGTCTACTAAAACTTTCTGCATTATTAATACATTAAAGTGAAATTTCATTATAACTTTCCCTATTATACTCATTTAAGAAAGCAATATTTGAACTAAATTTATAAATGTAATGTCAAGTTGGGAATAACCGGAGTCTTTGATAGGCATGAATGACGTTACTATCAATCAAATGACAAGTCAATCTATTAATCACACACATTCACATACATCCCACTGGTACTATTGTCTGATATTATATGGTTCCAGCCACAGAGGTTACACAAACCGAAAGGTCTTTAGAATCCCAGGAGCTTGGAAACCATACGATATCACAACTTTCTAGACCTCGTTATATATACAACTATAAATTAGTTCACTAGGCATATTCGTTAGTGATTATTATTATTATTATTATATTATTATTATTATTATTATTATTATTATTATTATTATTATTATTATTATTAATATTATTATTTATTATTATTATTATTATTATTATTTTTATTATTATTTATTATTATTTTAATATTATTATTACTATTACTTTTTCAAATTTTCAGGTAAAAAAAATAATTGTTGATTACGTCGCCAGAGCCTCGTTTGCCTTTATCACCTTGATAAAGTTTCCAAGTTTACGTGTTGCTTGCATAAACGAATTTTCTTTGGCCTTGAGCCGCTGTGTGGGCATAGGTTTTTATGTGAGTCTAGATTCTGCTTTTCTAGCTTATGACAGTGGTGGCGCCAGAGGGGGCTGGGGGAAATAGACCCATCCCGTCGGGGAAGACGAGTAAATTTTGTCGGGGAATAAACAAATAAAATAAATGATTTACTTATTAAACTATTTGTGTTAACTTTTCATCACAATAATAATAATAATAATAATAATAAACAATAATAATAATAATAATAATAATAATAATAATAATTATTATTATTATTATTATTATTATTACTACTATTATTATTATTTGTGGGGGTCCCTGGATCCCCACCGGGGGCCCTAGGCGGCCCCGTGGCCCCCAGCCAAATAATATTCGATTCGCTCCACTAGCCCCCCTCGGGGCCTTTGGCCCCTACGTCGGGCAGGTCCTGGCGACATCACTGGCTTATGATGAAGAGTACGCATGGTACTAAGTCGCTTCTTTGGTTTGACAGGAGACAATTTGTAAATATCATTACTTGTTTGAAAGGTTGTCGAAGTAAAAGTACCGGTAAAATAGCAGTTTTTGACGGACCAAAAATGAGAGCAGGTTTCTTCTCGGTTTGAATCCTTAGATGGGCACCGCTACTGCATTATGGGCACCACTACTGCAGGTGTTATTATATTTTATATATTAATCCTTAGATGGGCACCGCTATTGCATTATGAGCACCACTACTGCAGGTGTTGTTATATTTCATATATTAATCCTTAGATGGGCACCGCTACTGCATTACGGGCACCACTACTGCATGTGTTGTTATATTTTATATATTAATCCTTAGATGGGCACCGCTACTGCATTACGGGCACCACTACTGCAGGTAAGAAAGTATAATACATCCTCCAAGTATTGAAATACACGCCATCGTGTTGGGATTCAATATTTCGACATTAATTATGTCATCATCAGGAATGAAAAATTATCCATATTAACAAGCTTATATGCACTAGTACCAAAAGTGTTTAACCAATCAAAACATTACCTCTCTAGTAGGTGACATAGCAGTGATTTAAACAAAAGATCAAAGCATTCTTACTCTAATGATCAAAGATACTTACAAAAACAAAGAAAGCTCTTTTGAAGCTCTGAGCCCATTGTTAAGCAAAGGGTGTAGTCTACGTATAGCGAACGCTTCTTTAAACAATAGGATAGACCAGTTTCGGGAGCTGCTGTCAATAATGTTAGTACTAGAAAATATTAAACCTATATAATTTATTACTTGCATTACAGACAACATTATCATTTTCAAGTATACCCTGTAATCCTAAAACAAATTGGAATGCCTCACAGTTTTTAACATGATCAAATATAACACTATCAGATCGTGAAAAATGTTCTTTAAGTCTAGTTATTAAGCACCTATCTGTCTTACCAATATAATCACTATTGCAGCCTGGACATTTAAATGATAGACAACAGAACTTCTGTACTCCTTAGGGGTTTGATCCTTAGTAGATATAAAATGAGAAACATTTTTATACTGCCATAAAGTTATGGATTTTCCCTCTTTAATTAAGTGTTTCTTTACCTTATTTAAACATCTACGTAAAATGAACTCACCTGGTTTTCCTAGATAAGGCAATCTAACCCAAATCTTAATCAAGCTATCATCAGTACTAACAACTACTGCAGGTGTTGTTATATTTTATACATTAATCCTTAGATGGGCACCGCTACTGCATTACCGGCACCACTACTGCAGGTGTTGTTTATTATTTTATACATTAATCCTTAAATTTATTTATTTATTATTTATTTATTCTTTATTCTAGGCACTTTCAGTACTATTACACTGATTTTCAAAGTGGTACAGTTTAAACATAACAAAAATATATACAATATATATAATATACAATATAAAGAATTGTTTAACAAAAATTAAAAAGAACATAGGCACCGCTACTGAAATATGGGCACCACTACTGCAGGTGTTGTCCTGAACACCCTAAAATTAATATGGATATGAACAATATAAAATAATTGAGAAAGGGTCGGTACTAACGTGTTTGTAGAATAATAATTGATTCGTAGCCAAAGCGTCCTAGGCCTAGATGTCAGACCTACATCACCATATAAATTAGCTGTCTGTTATACACATCTAGATGTGTATAAGAGACAGCCCCAGTGCTAGATACGCCACTTTTTGACAAAAATGAAAAGTGTTCTAATATAGACAATGGGTCGTGTCTCATTTTAATTGTTATATTTTTATTATTCATTATTTTCACTTGACTCGCATAAATAATTTTGTTTGAAGAACATAATTATGCTGTTGTACTTCGCAGCACTTCACTTGCAATTTGCAATTTCTAGTTTAAGTTAAGTTCCGATATAGCTACTGTAGCCCTACAATACATGGGCATTTTCCAACAACTGAGCTCACGTGATCTTCTTGAGTCGCCGCCACACAGTGCCACACGTGACACTGCACAGGGCACCCATATCCGGAAACCCAGTATTTACAGCCTGTTTCACTGTTCTGGTAAACGTTATGTTTGCTTTTTTCTTTTTGTAGTAAAAAAGACAAATTTTTCTGTAGTAATACACAATCAAATCAAATTTCAACGTACAGTATTCTCTTGTAAAGGCTAGACCTATGGCCAGCTCCTGTCTGTATGAATTGTCTAGAGTCTGAGTGAGAGTGCCATTCCATAAATAATCGCCTCCCTGCTGCCCTGGATTTGTCTACTTCCCACTTCCCTAGGGCCAGGCCTAGCCTCAAGCCGGCCTTGACCAGGGAGGTGCTACAGGTGCTCTCCTCTTTAGATTTTTAGGACGCTGGTAAAAGTAGTATTTGCCCTAATCAACTAGATATCAGCTAGAATAGATTAAAACGTGATTTTGAGTGGTTATCTTAACATACTCTTTTATATTAGTACGATTTTTGTGGTGATATTTCTGGATGAGATCGGTGTGTAAAATTAGACCTATCAAGGAGGTATAAAAATAAAATTATTTTTATACCTCCTTGGACCTATCCTGTAATTGATGAATTTCTGCTGCTGGATGTAAAGGAAATGCACTAAAGCTACGTTCACATCAAGCCCGGAGTCCGGAGAAAAAATCGTGAAAAATGGGTTCTGTGGTAAAGAATAGGACCGTTCACATCAAATTCGTACGATTTCTAATCCGGACTCTATTTCTAAGTCATTTGTTTCCTGAAATCGTACGGTGGTTTTTTTTTTTTCTTTTACCAATCAGCAACAAGCTTGGTTGGTTCGAACCAATCGAACGCACACGTACTTAACCCAAACAACCGTGTTCCGTGCGCGATGTGAACGCAGGGATAAAAAAACGTAGGAACTCACGAATTTTTGTCCAGGCTCCGGACCAAATCTGGGCTTGATGTGAACGTAGCTTTAAGCACAGGATACTGTATTCACTGTATCTATTATCAATTTCATACTTTACTGTATAAAACAATTTGATATATTGATAATTTCATTTTTCGACTTTAACTGCCATGTCAGTACAGAACTAACAATTACATTAAATTATTTTACTTTTGAACACTAAATTGTTTCTATATAATCATGCAATTGGGCTTCAGCTACTAATTGATATATAAATAGAATTTTATTGAATTTTCTTGAAAAAAACATTGTGTAGTTCATGATCATGTAAAATTGCTTGCAAAAATTCAGATTATAATTATTTTTGTGTTTCAGATTATAAGTTTAAATTATGATATTCATACAATTATTAATTTAACCAGACCATTTTAAATTACCACACTTTACCAATTCAATCCAATCAAATTTCTCTTTCAGCAAAGAAATTACTGATCATCTGCCTGTCTGTTGCATCTCAAGTACACAAGAATGACAGTTCAGAAAAAATACAACAAATGACCCAGAATTGTAAGAGTTATTTTAAAAGGTAGATAATGTTTGACTGTGAACAGGAAAGTATTATATATGCCATATTTTATCATTACGGGTGCCAGTGTATTGTGATGACCTGATGGCTAGGAAAATGTGTAATTCTAGCAGATTTGTTATTATAGGTGGTGTGTCATCAACAGCATGCTGTGGTGAAGGGCATTATTGTGGTAGGCAATGGATTGGATGTATGGAGTAACCAGGAGGCTTACGATGGCCTTGAATGATAGCACCAGATGAAAGGTTGGACTTTAAGCCGGGCACTCACAGCACCCAATGGTCGTTGACTGACGCCATTCTATTAAGAATATGCTATGGATCACCATCGACAATCAGCGGATGGTGTTGCATAGTCTGACGCTCACATGGAGCGTAGTTGGATTTGTATTACGCAGTGGGTGCCCGGCTGTATTTGACTGATTTTTTAGAAATTGTGTGTTGATCCATGAGGTACAATCGAGAGCTTTTGATTTGTGCGACAACGCAATGCTAGAACAGAATCACTCATGCGTTACCATCCGATCTGGCGTCCTACGTTCCCTGCATACATAAATTTGGCCAAATTGCGTCCTAGAATCCACGCGTGACGAGAACGTTCTCGCACGCGCAGATGACTTTATGTGACGTCATTACGTTCTACGTCCTACCGTCGTACACTCGAAACCTCCCTATTATGACTAACACACTTAGCTGATGACCCATACTCTTTATCTAATTGCATCACAATTACCACTGCTTAACCTCTCAAAATTATTTTTAATAGGACCTTAATGTTTTGAGGTCATGCAGGGGGAGATCAATGATTTTTTATTATGGGGGTTAAGAGGTATCAACAAATTCAGATGGTTTGAATTGACACCTTTGATCTCTATCACAGGGTGTAACTCAAATGATGACTCAAACAAACAACTCTGATAAAAAATTTATTTGATCTGGATTCAAATATGATTGCATAATCCAATACAAAAAATCTCAGTTGACAATCCAGTTTAAACTGGAAATAAAATTATTGAAACAATTGGGCATACATAGACCATTATGCTATCAGATTTGAATTCAGATCGAATAAATTTATCATCACGGAATGTATTAGTGCTTGAGTCGTCATTTGAGCTTCACCCGTGATAGAGATCAGATACAGTAGAAAGTCTAATCATCCTACACATGTAAAAAATAGAATTCTTAAATGATTTGTAACACAGTATAATTGAAAAGATGTTAATGTTCTGAGCTCTGCTTGTTGCATGCCTTCTTCAAATTCTTTTTGAAATCTGTTGCACAAATTGGCCTATGGAAGGCCATTTGGGACTTGGATTCTGGCCCCTTAAAGGTGACATGGACTTTACAAAGTAAAAAAGCATGCATGAATTATAAATACATTAAATCAGTCCATCTATGTTCTTATGCAAATTAATTTTCCTCGGAAACTGCAAGTGACAATGTTTTTGTGATGGGTCTTGCAAGAGTAGACAACTGGGTCTTGGCTTTCACAGATCTCACAAGCCCATCTCCATTTCCCCTTTTACAAACTTTCAACCATTTATCGGAGTGTATTTCTTTCTGCATGACCCATCACCCTTGCTCACAAAACATCTTAATGTATGAGCTGGTGTTGAATCTGCTACTTCTACTATAAATGAATCACTCAAAAAGCTAAACAGGTGAAAATGACTCAAACAGCTCAAAGCAGTCCACTCCTTGTTCATTAGATTCTGGTCAGCTTCAGCATGTAACAAGACTAACAATGATTCTCAGATGTAATTTAAAACTGATTAAAAACATGTTTTAGTTGTAAATTGTACATCATTTTTTGTGTGTATACATTTCCAATTGTGACTGACCATTCTTGTTGTGGTTGGCTCCAGCATTTAACAAGGCTAACAATGATTCTTAAAAAAGTATTAAAACTGATTTAAATATGATTTAGTCATAAATTGTAACTAACACCTTGATCTAATAGGTTATATGCTGGGCTTTGAAAATAATGCAATTTTTTGGCTATTACAACACTGTTGAAGTTGCATATTGCTAGTTTACGGTTCCATTTGTCACGGCGTACCTACCGGATTTAGATCTCGCTAGAGCACTACAAATCTCCTTGCAGTCTTTGTATTAAAAAGGAGGAAATTATAATAATAATAATATTAATAATTATTTTCAAATATGTGATACCTACTTGCAGTGTTTAAGAGGAAAAAATGGTGAAGATATGTTTAATTTTTTCTTTATGAACATCTTCCTTTCTTCTTGCTGTAGTGTTACCTTGCTCCTTTTTCTGCTGTTACCTTCTTCCTCCCTGCTGGGGTGTATACGACTTACACAAGAAAAGTTTCAGTTCCATCTGTTATGGCGTATCCACCGGATTTGGCTCTTAGTAGACCACTATAAATCTCTCTGCAGTCTTTGTATTAAAAAGGAATCAAATTTTATAGGAAATTAATAATATAACTTATAATATTAATAATAATTTGCAAATATAAGAGAAAAAAATGGTGTTTAATTTTTTTCTAATGAACATCTCTCTTTATTCTTGCTGTTATCTTCCTCCTTTTTCTGCAGTTACTTTCCTTTGCCGGCTGGGCTGTACACAACTTAAATACAAGAACATTTGAAAGTTCCATTAGTTACAGCATATTTTGCTCTCGGTAGCCCACTATAAATCTGTCTGCAGTCTCTATATTGAAAAGGAATCAGTCTCTGCTTTTGTATTGTTTATCGTAACATATTATATGCGTCTTTAGCTTTTCTATGACTGTATGAGCATTCTTACACATGCTTTTTATAGTCTTTCAAGGGGTCTGTGGAGACATTCTATTTTTATTTCATACATCTTCTCTCAATGGCACTGTTTGATTGTCTGCCATAAAATATTTTCAACAGCGACTGATAGCCAGGCATATAATAATAAAATAATAATAATAGTTCATTCTTACATAGCGCAAGTAAATCTTGTTTTACAGTTTAAGTTTGTACTATACATTTCCACTGAAAACTTGTTCTTGTTCTGTATACTTGGATTAGCTCCAGCATTTATGTGTGTCAAGGTGAAAGCAAGGAGTACTTTGATTCCTTTTTAGTTAAAACAGAATATTAGAACAGATCGAAACATGGTTCAATTGTAAAAATGTGAAGATGTTAGCAATATCATGTTTATCATGCAAAGATAATTCAGTAAATTGCTTTGTCATTGTACTCTCTGCCATTCTTTAAGATATACATGTCGACAGGAAACAGACTGTCCTTGCTCTATATATTTTTTATTAGCCCCAGCATTCAAAAGTACTGTATTACTGTGTGAAGGTGAATGAAAGGAATGTTAGGGTTTGCTTTCAATGAAGAATACATTTATATACAGTATACTGTATGTATAATAGAACTGATCAAAACTGTTCTGGAGCTTTTACTGTGTTTCTCTTCTTAAAATTGCAGGTTTTACATCTCAAATAAGCCTGTCTTACTCCATATGAGTGTCTATCTTCTGGACCGTTAAATTTTGTTTTTTCCTTGTAAGTTGAGATTGTAAAGAGCTTAGGTAGGTGATTTTTTTTCCAAATAAATTTCTGCAGCTTATGCAAGTGTTCTTGATTGCATGTACAGGTCAGACCATCATCCACAATCCTCCACCATGTAAAATACATAGTTACCAGCTGGGCACAGTTGTATGGATCAGGTTCGATCAACTCTCTACCATGAAATGTAAATGGGTGTAGGCCTAGTTGGTACAGTATTGTACATGGTGGTAATTCTATATGATATAGACTACATCTGTTTCTTGGTACCTTACTGCAAAGCTTTTATTCAACATATACTACTGCACTACAATATACAAGTGACTGAGCTCCAGGTTCGTATGATTCCTTTTTAATAACAAAAAAAATATCATAATTGATCAAAATATGGGGCAGTTGTAGAAATGTGGTTAAATATAATTTCCACTGGATACATATTACTCTTGGTTATTTGGATTTGGTGGGCAGCATCCCAAAATTGTACTTACTGTATGTCTAGTTGAACGTAAGGAATTCATTTTTTTTTAAACAAAAAAATATTAGAATTGAATGGTTCAATCGTAGAAACGTGGTTAAAATGAAGTATAAACGTCTATACAGTACATCTCCATTGGAAACAGATTTTTATTGTTCTTTACCTTTGTATTTGCTCCAGCCTTTGACAGTTAACTTGTTGTGTTAAGGTTAACGCAAGTACTACTATGATTCCTATTAAAAGATATAGTAGGACTAATCAAAACATGGTTCACGTGTAGAAATGTTATTAAAATGAAGGATTAACGTGTATACAGTACATTTCCACTGGAAACAGATTTTTATTGTTCTTTAGCTTTGTATTTGCTCCATACTTTAACAGGTAACGTGTTGTGTTAAGTTTAACGCAAGTACTACTATGATTCTTATTAAAAGATATAGTAGGACTAATCAAAACATGGTTCACGTGTAGAAATATTATTATAAAATGAAGGATTAACGTGTATACAGTACATTTCCACTGGAAACAGATTTTTATTGTTCTTTAGCTTTGTATTTGCTCCGTACTTTAATAGTTAACGTGTTGTCTTAAGGTTAACACAAGTACTACTATGATTCCTATTAAAAGATATAGTAGGACTAATCAAAACATGGTTCACGTGTAGAAATGTTATTAAAATGAAGGATTAACGTGTATACAGTACATTTCCACTGGAAACAGATTTTTATTGTTCTTTAGCTTTGTATTTTCTCCATACTTTAACCGTTAACGTGTTGTGTTAAAGTTAACGCAAGTACTACTATGATTCCTATTAAAAGATATAGTAGGACTAATCAAAACATGGTTCACGTGTAGAAATGTTATTAAAATGAAGGATTAACGTGTATACAGTACATTTCCACTGGAAACAGATTTTTCTTGTTCTTTAGCTTTGTATTTTCTCCATACTTTAATAATAACGTGTTGTGTTAAGGTTAACACAAGTACAACTATGATTCCTATTAAAAGATATAGTAGGACTAATCAAAACATGGTTCATGTGTAGAAATGGTATTAAAATGAAGGATTAACGTGTATACAGTACATTTCCACTGGAAACAGATTTTTCTTGTTCTTTAGCTTTGTATTTTCTCCATACTTTAACTGTTAACGTGTTGTGTTAAAATTAATGCAAGTACTGCTATGATTCCTTTTAAAAGATATAGTAGGACTAATCAAAACATGGTTCACGTGTAGAAATATTATTATAAAATGAAGGA